CCACGAAACGTGTGAGGGGTGTGCCGAAATGGGTGTGCGGGACGCATGCGGACGGCAGCCATGGGGCCTTCGGTGGAGCTCCCTATGGGGCCACGAAACGTGTGAGGGGTGTGCCGAAATGGGTGTGCGGGACGCATGCGGACGGCAGCATGGGGCCTTCGGTGGACCTCCCTGTGGGGCCACGAAACGTGTGAGGGGTGTGCCGAAATGGTGTGCGGGGCGCATGCGGACGGCAGCATGGGGCCTTCGGTGGAGCTCCCTATGGGGCCACGAAACGTGTGAGGGGTGTGCCGAAATGGGTGTGCGGGACGCATGCGGACGGCAGCACTGGGGCCTTCGGTGGAGCTCCCTGTGGGGCCACGAAACGTGTGAGGGGTGTGCCGAAATGGGTGTGCGGGACGCATGCGGACGGCAGCCATGGGGCCTTCGGTGGAGCTCCCTGTGGGGCCACGAAACGTGTGAGGGGTGTGCCGAAATGGGTGTGCGGGACGCATGCGGACGGCAGCCATGGGGCCTTCGGTGGAGCTCCCTATGGGGCCACGAAACGTGTGAGGGGTGTGCCGAAATGGGTGTGCGGGACGCATGCGGACGGCAGCACTGGGGCCTTCGGTGGAGCTCCCTGTGGGGCCACGAAACGTGTGAGGGGTGTGCCGAAATGGGTGTGCGGGACGCATGCGGACGGCAGCAATGGGGCCTTCGGTGGAGCTCCCTGTGGGGCCACGAAACGTGTGAGGGGTGTGCCGAAATGGGTGTGCGGGACGCATGCGGACGGCAGCCATGGGGCCTTCGGTGGAGCTCCCTATGGGGCCACGAAACGTGTGAGGGGTGTGCCGAAATGGGTGTGCGGGACGCATGCGGACGGCAGCCTGGGGCCTTCGGTGGAGCTCCCTGTGGGGCCACGAAACGTGTGAGGGGTGTGCCGAAATGGGTGTGCGGGACGCATGCGGACGGCAGCCTGGGGCCTTCGGTGGAGCTCCCTATGGGGCCACGAAACGTGTGAGGGGTGTGCCGAAATGGGTGTGCGGGACGCATGCGGACGGCAGCACTGGGGCCTTCGGTGGAGCTCCCTATGGGGCCACGAAACGTGTGAGGGGTGTGCCGAAATGGGTGTGCGGGACGCATGCGGACGGCAGCCATGGGGCCTTCGGTGGAGCTCCCTATGGGGCCACGAAACGTGTGAGGGGTGTGCCGAAATGGGTGTGCGGGACGCATGCGGACGGCAGCACTGGGGCCTACGGTGGAGCTCCCTGTGGGGCCACGAAACGTGTGAGGGGTGTGCCGAAATGGGTGTGCGGGACGCATGCGGACGGCAGCACTGGGGCCTTCGGTGGAGCTCCCTGTGGGGCCACGAAACGTGTGAGGGGTGTGCCGAAATGGGTGTGCGGGACGCATGCGGACGGCAGCCATGGGGCCTTCGGTGGAGCTCCCTATGGGGCCACGAAACGTGTGAGGGGTGTGCCGAAATGGGTGTGCGGGACGCATACGGACGGCAGCACTGGGGCCTTCGGTGGAGCTCCCCTATGGGGCCACGAAACGTGTGAGGGGTGTGCCGAAATGGGTGTGCGGGACGCATGCGGACGGCAGCCATGGGCTTTCGATGGAGTGATGATGGGGGATGAAACGTTGAGGGATGTGCCGAAATGATGGAGGGGAGCATGCGGGCGGCAGCCTGGGGCCTTCGGATGGAGCTCCTATGGAGCCACGAAACGTGTGAGGGTGTGCCGAGTGGGTGATTACTATGACGATGACGACGATGACAATGACGATGATGATGATGATGATGATGATGATGGTGATGAGAATGGATGGTGAAATGATGATAATGATGATGACAATGATGATGATGATGATGATGATGATGATGAGATGAGGATGATGATGATGATGATGATGATGATGATGATGATGATGATGATGATGGGAGGAGGGAGGAGGGGGAGGGGAGAGGAGGAGGAGGAGGTGGGACGCGGGGCGCTGTCTCTTCAAAACGAGGACCCAACACCACAGGATGGTTGGGAAACAATTGTTTTTAATTGCGAATTCCATTGTAATCCTGTAAAAATTGCGAAATCGAGCCGTCAGGCGCTTGAATGCCACATTGCGTTCGAGATTTAAGCACGCGACGCATGTATGAGAAATTTGCGTCGCACGCGCTTTTGCCCGAATATCGAACGCAGTGTGGCATCCAGGCGCGTGCGGGTTCGAATTCGCAATTTCGAAAGGATTGCAATGGAATTCGCAACCAAATATAGTATTTTTTGTCCAAATAAGGTTTTTCAAACAAATGCGTGTCATGAGAAAATTGCGTCGCACACGCTTTCGCCTAAATCTCGAACGCAGTGCGGCATTCAAGCGCCTGACGGCTCGATTTCGCAACTTCGAAAAGATTTCAATGGAATTCGCAATTAAATAAAATATTTTTTTTTCAAAATGAAGTTTTTCAAAAACATGCGTATCATTTGCGTGCCGCCGTGTTCCCGCAGAGCTCAGGAGTTGCTATCGACCACTGCCGATGATAAAAAACTGCCGACGATAATAAACCTCAAGAGGTTGTGCTGAGGGGTTGTGCTGGAGGGTTGTGCTGGAGGGTTGTGCTGGGGGGGGTTGTGCTGAGAGAGAGAGAGAGTGAGAGAGAGAGAGATAAGGAAAAAAATAGAAGATAAAACGAATATATTTATTAAAAAAATAAGAAAGATATAACACATTTCTCAGAAAAAATAAAAAAAAAACATCTTATACTAAAGAAGAATAATAAGAATAAGAAAAAGAAGAAGAGAAGATATATATATATAAAGAAAGACAGATAGAGGAGGAGGAGGAGAAGCAAACATTTCAAGTTTCAAATCCATCAGATTTTATTTAGAAACGCTTTGTGAAAATTGAGAAAGAGAGAGAGAGAGAGAGAGAGAGAGAAAGAAGAAGAGGATATAATGAAAAGCAAGAGAGGAAGGAGAGGAGGAGAGGAAAGGAGAAGACAGGAGAGGAGCAAGAGGAGAGAGAGATAGAGAAACAGAGAGAGAGAGAGAGAAAAAAGACAGAGAGGACATAATAAAAAAGCCTATCATATTTTCCATGGATAATCAACCCCAGGGATAAACAAGTTCAGGGGGGCATGGGGGGGAGAGAGACAGAGAGATAGAAAGAGAGAGAGAGAGAGAAGAACTAATGAAAATGAAGAGGAGAAGAAACAATCAAGAGGAGAAGTAGAAGAGGAGAGGAAGAGGAACAGCAAAAAAATCAAGTTCCAAACTTATTATTTTTATGTACGAGCACGTTATGATTTTTTTTAATTTAAAAAAGTGCTCGTGTAGGAGCTCATGTGCCTCACTTTCCGTGGATAATCAACCCCAGGGATAAACAAGTTCAGGGGCGCATGGGGAGAGAGAAAGATATAAAGAGAGAAATAAAGAAAACAAAGAGAGAGTTGAGGGAAATACATAAAAAGAAATATTAAAAAGAAAAAGGACAAGAAGAAATGAGGAGGAGAAGTAGAAGAGGAGAGGACAGGAGGATAAAACAAAAAATCTGAAGATTCAAATGCATTATTTTTTTAATTTACAAACGCTTTATGACAATTAAAATGTTTAAGTGCTCGCGTAGGGTAGCTCATGTGCCTCACTTTCCGTGGATAATCAACCCCAGGGATAAACAAGTTCAGGGGGCATGGGGAGAGAGAGGAAAAAAAGAAAGAAATAAAGAAATATATAAAGAAATAAAGAATATAAATTAAGAACAAAGAAGGAGAAGAGAAGAGGAAGAAAAAGAGCAAACAATTCAAGTTCCAAATCTATTAGATTTAATTTACAAATGCTTTCTGAAAATTGTTTTTTTTGAGTGCTCGTGTAGGGTAGCTCATGTGCCTCACTTGCCATGGATAATCAACACCAGGGATAAACAAGTTCAGGGGGGCATGGGGAGAGAGAGGAAAAAAAGAAAGCACTACAGAAATATATAAAGAAATGAAAATATAAATTAAGAAAAAAGAAGGAGAAGAGAAGAGGAAGAAAAAGAGCAATCCTCGAGTATATGCTTGTTTCGCTTGAGACATCCTCGACAAGCTTCTCGAATCGCTTGAGACATCCTCGCAGAATTGCTGGTTTCGCTTGAGACATCCTTGAAGCATTGCTCGTTTCGTTTGAGCCTGCCTCCCAAAATTCTTGGTTTCGCTTGAGACATCATCACAGAATTGTTGTTTTCGCTTGAGACATCCTTAAGAAACGTATCTTTTCGCTTGAGACATCCTTCAGTATATGCTTGTTTCGCTTGAGACATCCTCGAGTATATGCTTGTTTCGCTTGAGACATCCTCGACAAGCTTCTCGAATCGCTCGAGACATCCTCGAGTATATGCTTGTTTCGCTTGAGACATCCTCGACAAGCTTCTCGAATCGCTTGAGACATCCTCACAGAGTTACTGGTTTCGCTTGAGACATCCTTGAAACATTGCTCGTTTCGTTTGAGCCTGCCTCCCAAAATTCTTGGTTTCGCTTGAGACATCCTGAAAAAAGTGTGATCGCTTCGCTTGATGTTGCTATTTCAACATAACTTGATCTTGCTATCTCAACATAACGTTCCGAGGTGATAATGAAGTTTGGCCTCCGCGCCCCGCGCCCCCGACCAAACTCTTATTGGTCGACGATAAAAAACTCTAACGACTTAAGGGGGGGGGTACATTATTATCGTGGGCATGGGGTTAGAGAACCAAGTGGCAGCGTCGACAAAGCGTGACATCTGGCCGTCTATGTATTGCAAAGTTTTTTGCAAGCATCGAGGCACGACGACTGGAACCGCTTGAAGCTCTCTTGGATGTCCTCAGCCGGCGCGTCTCATGCAACTGGTGCGCTTTCTGCTCCCGAGGTAGCTCGCGCGTCTTTTTCCTCCATCTTCCATGCCCACATCATCATCCTCACCAGCTGGGGCGGCAGCAGCAGGAACAGGGGCTGGCTTGGGCGCCACAGGAGGTTGGGCATGAGCTTCGGGGGCTGCAAGTAGCGTGGTGACCGTCTCCGCCATCGCCTCGAGCCTTGTCGCGAGCTCCTCGCCAAGCCCCAATATTGCAGCCACGCGGCCCAGCTGTTCCACTGAGACCTCAAACCTTGGCACGAATTTATGAAGCGTGGAAGGCTTGGTCGGCTCTGGCGGGCGCACCTGACACATAGCCTTCCGCGTCTCATCCTTGAGTCCGACCACCTCGGCCGTCGCCTCGGTGAGCTCGGTATCCGCCTCACCAAGCTGCTCCAGCAGTTCCGTCGACCTGGGCACGCTGGGTCTCCACCGACTAGCGAACAACTGCCTCACGTGCACGAGCCTTCTGAGCCCAGAAGCCAGAGATTGCTGATCCTCGATGGACGGCCGTCGAACAGTTCTCGCTCCAATGCTTCCTCCGGCGACCTGCAGGAGGCGAGGGCCTCCGCGTCCACATCGGCCGCGAGAGAACGCATGAGAATCTCGGGCTGCTTGATACGACCACGTTTGTCAGCCATCTCGCTGTCAGCAGCGGGCGCGCTGGCCCAGGACGGAGGAGGTGAAATTGGGGTGGCAGTCTTGTCCAGCTCGAGCCGCTTAATATGTTCTTCGAGCGTCGCGCACCCTGGCTACCCTTGGAGCTGACACTGGGAACCTTTGCGCGCTTGTGTTCCTTAAACACCACGCCCTTGTGGAGCTGGCCCTGTGGACGCAAGACTTGCAGCGCCAGGGCTCTCCAGTGGCGGTCCCACGACGAGGAGCCACTGCACCAGGAGAGCCCGCGTCCGAGCAAGCGTCGCGTCGACCGCTCAAGGCGGCAGCGCGGGGCTGCACCGCCCAGGCGACTCCGCCGAGCAGGGCGGATTGCCCGTGGGAGGGAATGCAGGGCGGATTGCGCCCCATCAGCTGAGCACTGGCCGCGGACTAGCAGCATCCGCTTTGTTCGCGGGGGGCAGCAAAATCTTGAGCCACATTGGCTACGGAGAGGGTGAAGAGGAGGAGGAGGAGGAGGAGGAGGAGGAGGAGGAGGAGGAGGAGGAGGAGGGAGGAGGAGGAGGAGGATTAGAAGGAGGGGGGAGGAGGAGGAGGATGGGGAGGGGGAGGAGTAGGCGGGAGTTGGCGAAAGAGGAGGAGGAGGAGGACCAACTTAAACCCAGGATGCATAAACGAATCTGCCATACACCCTCCCGCCCCAAGTCCCCTTTCAAGCGCCCATGCAAGCCGCCCTTTTCACTACAAGATGCGTCCCTATTGACAGGCCCCGCTATGAAAGGCCTTGCGTCACATTTTGCTGGCACGTCGAGCAAGATTCCCTTCTCAAAGAAGGACCGTTTCCGCACCCGTGTAACTGCTGCGCAAGTTTACACTTGGAGTCAGGAATTTCGAACCCTTCTCAAGCGACACATCCATTTTGAAAACGAGCCGCCATGGATCCGTACAGCGCTACGTGCGTTGACATTCCGGGCCTCTAAGTCAGACGAAGTTTCAGGCGATAACTCCATTTTGAAACATGTTATCCTCTTGGCGAAGGACCCAGCCATATGCAGTTATGAGTGCCGACCACGTTGTGGGTACCGCTTTCGGTGGAACCCTCTTATGAGGCCACGAAGCGCGTGATGGGGTGCCCTGGAATGTGTGGGGGAGGCGCATGCGGCCGCAGCCAATGTGGTCTTCGGTTGAGTTTCCGATGGGGCCCCGAAGCGCTGTCCTGGGCGGGGGGGGTGGGGGGGTGGCGGGGCGCACGTGGCCGCGGCCACTGGGGCCTTCGGTGGAGTCCCCATATGGGGCCACGAAGCGCTGTTCCGTGGGGGTGGTGGAGACGCATGCGGTCGCGGCCATTGGGGCCTTCTGTGGAGCTCCTTACGAGGCCACCAGGCGGTATTGGGTGGAGGAACCGCATGCGGCCGCGGCCACTGAAGCTTTCTGTGGAGCTCCCTATTGGGCTACGAAGCGCTCGCTGTACTAGGCCAGGGAGGCGCATGCGAATAAGGCCACTGGGTCTTCCGTGGGGCTCCCTAGGGGGCCACGGAACGCTGTATGGGCAGTGAAGATGCATGCGGCCGCGGCCACTGGGGCCTTGGTTTGAGCGCCCCAGAAGGGGCCTCGGAACACTCGGGTCGCAGGGTGAGGGGCCAAGCCCTACCAGGAGGACGATAGAGACGGCAATTGAGAAAAGAGTGGAGCTCAACCTGAAGATGGACCTGGGGGAGCGAGGAGTTGCAGCGCGAGAGGAGAGCCTCAGGAGGGCAGGCTGGCAAGAGGAGATGGATGAGGACTTGCTGTTGATTAGTGCTGCGTCCAACAAGTACCCGGACGTCGGCCACGTCTACTTTACTGAGAAGCGATGAGGAGATGAGGTACATAAGCGGCAGATCACCGTGGAGGAGTGGCCGAAGTGGGTGGAGTCGGACACGACCGAGTGGGACGGTGTGAAATCAACAGGCGGGGTGCGAGTCCTACCGTTGGACGAAAGTCGCAAGGCGCGGGAAGCTCTGATCCGCCAAGGCAAGGAGGACCGTATCACACCTTCCAGAATGGCGCGCAGGAAGAAGGATTCTGAAGTTCGAGGTGAGCCAGCCTCATGCAAGAGCAGGTGGTGTGTCCGCGGGGATCAAGACCGAGATTTTCTGTCTCTGATGAGGTCGGCCCCAACTGTAACGACAAGTTCTTGGATGATGGTGCTGCAGATCGCGGCGTCACACAAGAGGGAGGCCATTGTCGGGGATCTCTGGAAGGCGTTCATGAATCCGGACAAGCTGGTGCGTGAGAGCGGGAAGCTGTACGCAGAGCAGCCTCGAGGCGGACTGCCAGGCATGGGGGCGGGGCAGCTGATAGAGCTAGTCTCGAGAGTATACGGACTGGGAGACGCCCCGCTGCACTTTCGCAGGGGGCTCAAGCGCGACCTGGTGGAGTTGGGCTACCGGCAGAGTACCCTGGATCCCACGGTGTTCAGGCTGTTTCCTGCTGGAGGTGCTGTGGAACCATTGGTTCGACTCGCTGCTCTCGGAGGACATCGAGGAGGAGAAGATCCGGGAATTCAAGCTGATCCAGATGTGGAGGGGATCGTGGTTGTGGAGGTTGACGACATCTTTGATGTAGGAGGGCAGAGACACCAGGAGCATATGGTGAACTTGCGAGCCAAGCGCAGGTTTGGCAAGGTGAAGGTGCTGATGGACGAGCCTGAGGGAGAGATGTTCCATGCGAGGCACTACGCCCAGGACGCTGAGTTCAACTTTCCCCTCGCGACGCCGGAGCAGCAGGCGCGCTGGCAGCGGCCCCTGGGCGCCTTGCCACTCGATCGGGCGGCGCAGTTATGCTCGGCCAGCGGGAAGGGGGCGGGGAGCTGGCTCCTGCCGCTGACTGAGGAGGACCACGTGCTGGCGGACGCGCACTTCCACCCAGCCCTCGCGCTGCGCCTCCAGCTGCCGCTGCCAGCGGCCGCCAGCACCACCTGCCCCCGGTGCAGTGGGGACGGCACGCGCTGCGGAGCCGACTTGGCCGCGACGCCGGGGCATTGCCTGGGCTGCCATGTCGGCGGCGGCACGATCCAGCGCCACGACGGCGTCCAGGACTGGCTCGCCCGCTGGCTCGGCGCCCGCGGCGCGACCAGCGTGGGCACGGAGCAACTCGTGCCCTCCTGGGACCGCGCGCGCCCGGACGGCACCGTGGACGCCGCCCGCCTCGACGTGGCCTTCGCGGACCCCGCGGTCGGCGTGGCCTGCGTTGACATGGCGGTTACCGACGCCTCCCTCGGCGCAGACGCGGGCGGGCCGAGGCCGCGGAGCCCAGGACGGCGCCGCCGCTGCCGCCGCGGAGGAGCGCAAGCACGCGCGCTATCCAGCGCTGACGAGTTTTTGCGCTGGAGACCCTCGGGCGCGCTGGGAAGGAGGCGCAGGCGCTCCTCCGCGCCTGGGTGCGAGGAGACGCCGAGGTGCTTGCGGCGGCGCAGCAGAGCCTCGCAGCGACACTCTGCAGCGGGGCAGCGCGGAGGCTTTCCGCTCCGCGTGCTCCGCCGCGCGGGGGGCGGTGCGCAGCAGGGGCGGCGGCGGCGAGCCAGCGGCGCGCCGCGCGCGCCAGCTAAGCGCGCGCCCCGCGGCGGTGCGCGGGCGCTGGAGGCGTCGGCGGCGGCGGGCGCGCGCCGCGGGCGGGCCGCGGCGCCGGGGCGCCGGGCAGCAACGCGCAGCATTGGCGCCGCGCAGCGGCGGCGGCTGGCGGCCGGGGCGGCGACGCGGCGGGTGCCAGGCACGGCAGTGGGGCCCGCTGGCTGCCGAGGAGCCCAGGGACCTCCGGCCCCCCTGGGAGTCGCCGCTATCGTCGACAGCCGGCCACCCCCGGGGTTGCCGCCCGCTTCGCGGGGCGGCGGTGGAGTTTGCCGGCTCCCGACCACGGAGCGCCCGGGCGCGCGGGAGAGACTCGCGGCCGCCTGGAGGAGGAAGAGGGGGGGAGGAGGAGGAGGAGCAGGACCAGGACGGGAGGATGGAGGAGGAGAGCGGAGGAGGAGGAAAAGGGAGGCGGGGGAAGAGGGCGAGGAAACAAGAGGAGGCGGAACGCGGAGGAACAGGAGGATGGGGGGGGGGAGAAGGAGGATGATGAGGAGGAGGAGGAGGAGAAGGAGGAGGAGGAGGAGGAAGACGAGGAGGAGGAGGATAACAATAATACCAAGACTAATCATACGAAAACTAATGATACTACCACTAATAAAAATAGTAATAATCATACTACCAATAATAATAATAATAACACGAGCAACAAGAATAGTAACATTGGTAATACTCAGCATAATAATACGAATAATAATACTACGCATAATAATAATGGTTGTACTACTACTACTAGTAATAATAATAATAATACTATTAATAATAATAATACTAATACTAATACTAATAATAATAGTAATAGTAATGATTATACTAGTAATACTGACCATACTCATATTCATAGTCATTACCATAATTATATAAAAAAAACACATAATATTAATTGTAATACGAATCACATTCATAAGAAATAAGAGTAATAATAACACATAATACTTTAAAATAGTCCTAAGAAGAGGAAGCATAAGAAGGAGGGGGAGGGGGAGAGGGGGGGATGATGATGATGATGGATTGTGCTGATGATGATTGATGATGATGCTGCTGATGATGATGATGATGTTGATGATGATGGGAGGAGGAGGAGGAGGAGAGGGGTGAGGAGGAGGAGGAGGAGGCGGACGTGGACGAGGAGGAAGAGGGCGGAGGAGGAGGACGAGGAGAGGAGGAGAGGACGAGGGACTGAGGACGAGGACGAGGACGAGGAGGAGAAGGCTGAGATGAGGAGAGGAGGAGGAGGAGGGGGAGGAAGGAGGAGGAGGATGAGGAGGGAAACAGGACAGGGACCAGGAAAAAGGAACAGGATACAGGAGGAGGAGGAGGTAGGTGAAGGCGAGGAGGGGTGGGGGAGGGGGGGAGAGGAGAAGAGGAGAGGAGGGAGGAGGAGGAGGAGGAGGAGGAAGAGGCGGAGGAGGAGGAGGAGGAGGAAGAGGGGAGGAGGAGCAGGAGGAGAGAGATTAGCAAGAACAGGATCTAGGAACAGGACAGGAAACAGGTAGGGAGGAGGAGGAAGAAGGAGGAGGAGGAGGAGGAAGAGGAGGAGGAGGCGGAGGAGGTGGAGGAAGGAGGAGGAAGAAGAGGAGGAGGAGGAGGTAAGAGGGGCGGGGAGGATGATGATGCTGAGGAGGAGGAGGAGGAGAGGAGGCGGAGGAGGAGGAAGAGGAGGAGGAGGAGGAAGAGGAGGAGGAGGAGGAAGATGATGATGATGATGATGAGGAGGAGGGGGAAGAAGAAGAATACTGAGAAGAAGAAGAATAATAATAATAAGAAGAAGAAACATAATAAGAAAACTAATCATAAGACTAATAAGAATAATACTAAGAATAATAAAAAATAATAGTAAGAAGAATAATAAAGAAGATGAGGAGGAGGAATAATACTACTAATAAGAATACTAAGAAGAAGAAGGATAAGATGAAGAAGAATAATAATAATAAGAAGAAGAAGAAGAAGGAGGAGGAAGAAGAGGAGGAGGAGGCGGCGGAAGAGGACGAGGAGCAAAAGGAGGGGGAGGAGGAGGACGAGGAGGACGAGGAGGAGGAGGAGGAGGGGGAGGAGGGGGAGGTGGACCAGGGGGGGGAGGGAGGAGAGGGGGAGGAGGGGGGGGGGAGGAGGGCGAGGGGGAGGGGGAGGATAAGGGATAAGGGGGAGGTGAAGGGGAAGGATGAGGAAGCGGCAGGAGGATGAGGCCGACCCAGGAGGAGGGCGACGCGCCGATCGCCGCCAGGCTTAGCAAAGGCCCCTCCGCGCGCCCGCCGCCGCCGGCCCAGCCGGCGCCGCCCGCGGAGACGCCCGCCGCCGACGGGAAGGGAGGGAGGGAGGGAAAGGAGGGATTGGAAGGGGGAAGAGAGAGAGTGAGGGAAGGAGGAGGCGACGACGGGGGCGAATTGCTCAGGGGGGGGGGGCGAGGGAGGAGGCGACGATAGGGGCGAATACCCCGGAGGGGGGATGGGCAATACGTGTATGCAGGGACGCTGGTGGTTCGTGTCTTCGGCGAGGCTCCCCGGCGAAAGCGTCTAATGCCCGCCCCTTCGCCCCTATCATCGCGTCCGAGGGAGGGAGGGAGGGAGGGAAAGATGGAGGGAGGGAGAGGAGATCGAAAAGAGGGGGGGGGAGAGGGAGGGAAAGAGGGAGGAAGGGAAAGGCGAGGGAAGGAATTTGGCATGATCGCACAGATGAATCTCCTCCGCGAGGTGCGCCATGAGTGCCGCCGAGCCAGGCCTTGAGGAGATTTGGCCCAGGCGGTGGTTCAGGCGGGGCCCAGGACCCCAACCCCTATGACCAGGTGGCGGGGAAGGATGGGGTGAGGGGGGGAGAAGAGGGGGAGAGTCAGTTGCATGGAGACAGAGGAGAGGGCCAGAGGAGGTTCGGCACACCGGCCCCGCCGCAAGCTGTCCCCGCAAGGGCCTCGCTGAACCCGTGGAGTTTCCTGCCTGTTTTCCCTCTTGAGGGAGGGGCGGAGGGGGGTTGAGGGACGGGGGAGGGAGGGGAGAAGTGAAGAGTAGAAGGGGAGGGAGGGAGGGAGGGAGGGGGGGGGAGGAAGCGGAGCGGAGGGAGGGGGGCTGGGGGGGGCCAGGGATCGACGGGGGCCTTCCCTGAGGTATCCTCCGTCTCTGATGTTTCCGTCTCCTCCGTCTCTGAGGTATCCTCCGTATTTGAGGTCTCCTCTGTCTCCCCTCCGTCTCCTCCGTCATCGTCCTCCTTCTCCTCTTCCTCCTCCTCCTCCTCCTGCTCCTCCTCCTCCTCCTCTTCTTCCTCCTTCTCTTCTTTCTCTTCCTCCTCCTCCTCCTTCTCCTCCTCCTCCTCCTCCTCCTCCTCTCTCTTCCTTCCTCCTTCTTTCTTCCTCCTTCTCTCCTCCTCCTCTCCTCCTCCCTCCTCCTCCTCATTCTCTTTTTCTTTTCATCACGCACGCACGCCGTGCATCCCCCCCGCCCGTCGCCCCCATAACACATCCCTCACGCATGCTGTACATCCCGCCCGCCCGTCGCCCCCATTACACATCCCGCGCGCACGCCGCGCATCCCTCCCGCCCGTCGCCCACATAACACATCCCGCACGCACGCCGTACATCCCCCCCGCCCGTCACCCCCATAACACATCCCGCACGCACGCCGTACATCCCCCCTGCCATCGCCCCCATAACACAAGCCTGCACACACGCACGCACACACGCACACAGCCGCGCATACATCCACATACACATGCACGCGTACATACACGCACGCTCGCACCAGGGTAATTACAGCAACCACAGGCAACCACTAAGCTCTTGGCATGCTCAACCAGAAAGCCTTGTGGACACAGCGGCGCTTTCCTTTCTTGTCCGGTCTGTAGAGGTGTTCTCCAGATGTTTGATGGATTCCTCGCGCTTCGCGGGGTGCACGTCTGGAGCACGTACAGTCAGTCCAGTCGTTGTCGGGCCTCCTGGGGTTTTTTGGGGGCCCCTTGGAGGCCTCTTTGGGGCCTCTTGGGTCCTCGCGGGGGCGTCTGGGAAGCGTCGTGGGGGCCTCTGGGAGGCCTCTTGGGGGCCTCTCGGAGCCCCGTGTGGGCGTCTTGGGGGCGCTCTTGCGCTGTCTGGTCCCTTCGGAGACTGTCTTGGGGTACTCTTGGGCCCGTCTTGGGGGCCTCTTGGGGCATCTCGGCGGCCTCTTTAGGCTGTCTGGGGGCCCTCTTGGGCCGTTTTGGGGCCCTCTTGAGGGCTTCTTGGGCCGTCTGGGGGCCACTTCGGAGGCTGTTTCGGCCGTCCTGGACCTCGGAGAGTCGACATAGGCGGGGACGCTGAAATCTTCAAAAAACCTTAGGAAAATCATTGGTTTTTGGCTTCTGGAGGTGCTCTTGGGGGTCCTCTGGGGGCCCTCTTGGGGCGTCTTGGGGTCTTTGTAGGCCCTCTTGGGGCCGGGTCGTCTTGGCCCTGTTGGGCCCCCAAGAGGGCCAACAGGACCAACTCATTGATTTTCTTTAGGTTTTGGTAGGTTTTTAGGCCCAGGAAGGGAGGGGCCACCTTGGGTCGGTGGAAGTGGCGTGGCCTCGGGGGAGGGGTTAGGGGGGAGACATAACAATGTAACACAATACAGTATGCAGCAATTGTGCAGTCATTGGATACATTGGATACGTTGCATTATCGCCTCCGCAGACCGGCCTCCGGCAACACGTCACCTCCGGACGTGGATTCTACAGGCTTGCGCACTTGCGCCACATCCGCCGACCCCTCTTAATGTAGATTGTTTTCTGTGGTTTTTGGAGGCGTCCAGGGTGATGGTCATGTAGATGAAAGCGATCGGGTGGGTTTGGGGATGGTTTTGGGGCATCCCGGGCCGCCCAGAGGCCGTTTTGGGCGTCTTGGAACGATTTTGCAGCGACTCGGGGCTTTCTTGGACCATCTTGGGTGCGTCTTGGGGCCCTCTTGGGCGGCTCGTGAGGCTCTCTTGGGAGCCGTTCGGGTGGTCTTCGAAGCCTCTCTGGCAGTATTGAACACCGTGAATGCTGAAGAGTCGTATGTGGTAAAATTGTACGTTGTCCATCGGGAGTTGGACAGTTTGTTTCTCTTGGGGCTATGTTTAGAGACATGTTGGGGGCGCTGCGGGTCATCTGGAGGCCATCGCTGGCGTTTGGGAACCTTCTTTCCCCAACTCGCTGCCTTCTTGGACCGTCGTGGGTGCGCCTTGGAGCCCTCTTGGGTCGTCCGCTTCGGCAATGGCAGTGCAAGTGCCGAATTCCGTGGAAGAAGGATCAGGAGGGAAGAGAGCGAAAGGGAGGAAGAGGACCATGATAATGATATGCTAAGGAGGAGGAGGAGGAGGAGGAGGAGGAGGAGGAGGAGGAGGAGGAGGAGGAGGAGGAGCAGGAGGAACAGGAGGAGCAGGAGGAACAGGAGGAGCTGGAGGATGAAGAGCAGGCGGAAGAGGAGGAGGGTCAGGAGGAGGAGGAGGAGGAGGAGGAGGAGGACGTGGGAGAAGGAGGAGACCTTGGTCAGGCGCCCATATCGTAAAATATCGAATGGCCTTCTGCACATCCGCTACCGTGCGTGGGCTGTGGGTGAGAGTCCACTCGGGTGACTGTTGGGGCCTCGTGGCAAACTTCTCGGGGGCCTCTCGGAGGCACTTTTTGAGGCTTCTTGGGAGCCTCCCTGGGGCCTCTTTTGGGCGTCTTGGGAGTATTTGGGGGCCTTGGGGGCACTTCTTGGGAAGGCTGAATGTCCGTTCGGGTTTCCCCTCTGGGCCCCCTCTTGGGGCCGCTGTGGTGCCGTCGTTAGCCGTCTTGAGGGCCTCATGTGCCGTCTTGGTGCTTTTAGTGGCCGCCTTGGGGCTCTCTTGGGAGCTCATTGGGCCGACTTGGGGGGCGTCTTGGGCCGTCTTCGATTTTGTGGAAGCCGAAGAGGCGAGCATGGCCCCCTGAGGCGACTTCTTGGAGGCTTCGTGGAGCATCTCTGGGGCGTCTTAGGCCGTTCTGATGTACGCTTTGGCGGTTTTGAATAAATCTTTCGGCGCCTCAGGGCTCTCTTAGACCTTCTTGAGGGCCTCTTGGGGCCGTCTTGGCCTGCTTTGGGGCCTTCTATGTCCATACGGCGCGTCCAGGCCGAGGCGTACCAGGCCCAGGGGGGGATTATGGGGGGGAGAAGTTTCACACGCCTAGAGACCCACAAGGGGCCGGCGGATTTTAGCGTTATCGTTTTGTTGGTCTTCCAATGTTCCAAGACGGCCGAAGAGGCCCCCAAGACAGCACCAAGACAGCACCAAGACAGCCCAATGGGCCCCCTTGACCGCCCAAATGCGCCAAAACGGCCTCCGTAGCCATTTTGGCGCAAGGCCAGTTTGGGCTGAGCCAGCCGCGGTGCCGTGTTTTTTTAGATTTATTTGTTTCGGATGTTGGACATCCGTCGGGGGTCCCGACAAGGCACTATTTCACTCGAAGCGTCGATCAAGAACTGCGGTCAGACAAAACAATGGAGCGCAGCACTGTGGTTGCTTCGCGAAGGAATTCGATTAGGTGTGCAGCTCGTCCCAGGCCACTACATGGCGACTGTCAGCGCATGCAGTAAAAGCGGGCGATGGCAGCACGCGCTGTCAGTGCTCAGAGAGATGCCAGAGGCGAAGCTGGAGCCCAATGTCATCAGTTACAGCGCTGGGATCAGCGCGTGCGGGAAGGGCGAGCAGTGGCAGCGGGCTCTGGCGCTGCTAAGCGAGATGCGGTCAGAGAAGCTGGAGCCCAACGTCATCTATTCTACAATACCGGGAGCAGCGCGTGGTGTATTGCTCAGGTGGCAGCGCCCGGGGGGCCTGCCGGGAGGGCCCGCTGGGAGGGCCTGCGCCTCCCAGACGGCCCAAGCGAGTCCAAGAGGCCTCCAAGTTCGCTGAAGATGCCTCTGACACGGCCGAAGACGGCTTCCAGATGGCCCAAAATGGCGTCCAGATGGCTCTCCAAAAGGCTCCCAGAGTGCTCCAAGGGTACGCCCAGCAGGGCCTTCCGGCGAAACAGATATGATGTTTTCTGCAGGATTTTCTCACATTTCGAGCAAACACGGTCTGGGGCAACGGCCCAAGCTCTCAAGATCGCCCCAAGCTAGGCCAAGAGGCCTCCCAGGTGCCATCCGGAGGCGGTTCCCGCGTCCTCCCGGGGCGGCCCAGGGCCCTCCTGGCCTTGCGCCTGGAAGCGGGAACCGCGTGAGGAGATGTGGCCCTGTTTCCTCACATGGTTCCAGCGCCTAGGGGGCTGCCCCTGAAGGCCTCCCGGGTGCCAGCTTGGGGCGGTTCCCGGGTTCTCCCAGGGCGGCCCCGGGCCCCCCTGGCCG